ATACAGACAAAACTACAGGTTTACATTATTATATTCATATCAGATTAACACATTTGTGTTGTATCTATGCAGACTGTGTCCAAGCAACATTGCTCAAAAAAAGTTACCCCGTGTATCATTGTCTATTTTTGTGACTTGCAGATCACCATTATGAGCATTTACTGTATGCAAAAATCAACTGAAATGCAAAATTCAAGCTTCACATTTCTCCTGTAAATTCGACTCATAGACTTCTATTGTAAGTGCATTACTGTAAACACCATTTATGTGTTTTTACAAACTGAGAGCCAAGAAAGTGTTTTGATGCTTGCAACACCAAAGTCATGGGTTCAAATCCCAGGAAATGCATGAGCTGATAAAAATGTACATCTTGAATGTGATGTCATTAAAGGTATCTGCCAAATGCATGAATGTGAAATTGAGACGAATGCTGCACATTGAGCAACTTTGACTATTTTAACTAGTTCTTTATTTCTTTGTGATATTATGAAGTGTTTGCTTCAGTGAAAAGCTTTTTTTATTTCAGCATTCAGCGCTCTCAGTCTTTTCCATCTGACAAGCACGTCCTTATTGCCCTGGGACGCCATATAGGATTCCAGCCTCCTCATATGAATCAGTGGGTACTGAGAGGTCATGACCTCTGAGGAACTGGCCAGTGGTCACAATAACAAGAGAGATGGTCAGAAACGGCCCTCAGGGACACATTTGGACAGAGGGTTTCCCATGACACCGGGTTAAACCCTTCAGCTCGAGCTCAGAGAAAAGAACATATTAAAATGGCAAGTCTTCCCTTACATTTTTGCCCATGCATAACTAGATTTAACTCAACACTGAGATGCTTTGCAGAATCCACTAGGAATGCGTTACCGACATACTATTGTATATTTTGTAGATTTTTTAGCTTCTGAGAATTATAAAAAAAACATTTTTTTAATATTTAATTATTAATTTTTTTTTTATGAATACAGTAGAAAGTTTAAAAGAACACTATTCAAAATAGAAATCTTTTGTATGTGTATCTTTTCAATGGTAGTGCGTTTTGTTTCCACAAAAATACATATACAATGAGAAGAAATGTTTCTCGAGCAGCAAACCAGCATATTAAAATGATTTCTGAAGGATCATGTGACACTGAAGACTGGAGTAATGATGCTGAAAATTCAACTTTGATCACAGGAATAAATTACATTTTAAAATATATTCAAAAACAAAACAGTTATTTTAAATCGTAATAATTTCACAATTTTACAGTTTTTACTGTATTTTTAGTCAAATAAATGCAGCCTTGGTGAGCAGAAGAGACTTCTTTCAAAAACAATAATAATAAAAAAAAATTAAAAAAATCGATTTATTAAAAGAATCTTTCATAAATCTTTGATAAAACTAAGTATTTCTTTGTTAATGCACATTGATTTTTTTTTTCTTTTTTGTCCCAAAGAGTCGAGTGAGTTTGCCCTGTGGTGTGATCGAATGTTTAAAGCAGCGCAGGGTTCAGGAGCAGGTCATGACCTCTGTGACACAGGCAGTGAGGTAACACACGCCCCTCTGCCGGCCATTGACCGGACACTCTCCAATTCAGTCCTTCTGATGACCGGCAGAGAATGACCTCGATTGTTGGCTGTCATTGGCGTAATTGACTCGTGACGTTTGGACCCCACTGTATGTCATTTGAACATCAACTTTGTCTCATATGGAGAAATGAAAATCAATAGAGAGCTACGAATGAGTATAGCAGCTCAGATAAAGCAAAATTCTCCTTATAAAAGGAGATCTCATTTGTGATTTGCTTTCCTGCGGGAGGCTTTTAATTACCACAGATGAATGTCTTTTGTGAAAGTCCTTGAGAGTTTTCAGTTTTCATTGATTCATCATGAGCATCGGAGATGTGATGAGGACGGATGGGAAAATAGCAGCGATGCTGAACTTCACTCATGTAAATGACTGACTCATTGAAATGAGTCATTGACAGAGAAGTGGATTAAATGAATGTCCTGTCTTGCTGATGTCAGGCATACAGCCATACACACACACTTAATGAAAAACAAGATCGACTAATATATATATATACACATACACATACACACACACACACATATATATATATATATAATGAATTGATCAAAAGTGACAGTAAATACATTTATAATGTCTTTTGAACTTTGTATTCATCAAAAAATTCTGAAAAATGTATCAGTTTCCGCAAACATACTAAGCAGCATGACTATTTTTAACATCGTCTCTGCAATATTCTGGTCTCTTGTATACCATATTTAATATTCTAGTCAATACAAGGGAAAAAATCCAGTCACATTCCAACAAATGTAAGCGCTTCAACAAAAGTCACACAAAGCATTCAAAAAAAAAAGCATTAACATTTTAAAAAAGCACAAATATTTAAGCAAACCAGAATATGGCAGAGACTTAGGCCAATGAGCAATTGCATAACATGCTAAAAATGTAAACAGATATACATATTGCTAAGTTGCTTAGTCTCTGCGGTTATTCTGGTCGATTTAGCCATTTACAGTGTGTACCCTGATCACTGAGATGTCTATTTGGCGTCTGCATTTACATCTGCAAGACGTATTTTTTTAGAGAGTTTGCTCATCTGCAATAAGTCTATAGGACGTTTCCTATCAGATGACAAATAGACGTTTAGAAGATGTCTTTAAGATGTTTATGATTTAGAATGTATGTAAAACTGATGTCTATCAGACGTTTGTACACAGCAGATGCTTTCCAGATGAAGCGATCTTTAACAGACATTTTGCAGACGTGTGCTATCTGGGTATTTTTTAATGACTTTTAATGCTTTTTTAATGGTTTATGTGTTATTAAAGATTTGCATTTGTTTGCTGTATCAGAAGCAATAGCTACATATCTGACTGGGTTTTGATTTCCATACTTGACTAGAATTTTGAATATCATATTGCATATACAGGGCCGATACTGGATGATGCTAAAGCGTTTTACACACCACACTGTTACGGCCCATTAAAAAAAAGCTCCGTCCCTTTGCACTTAGCACATTTCGAGCACTTAATGCATTCTAATCCGACACTGACCAAGTGCTGAAAGCCATTGTTTGAGCACTTTTACCCCCCGCTGTCAGCGGCTCCCCAATTATGTATGCGGAGACTCTCTGAAAGCTTAAAGGGATTGGAGGGGCATCCAGCTTCCAGTCATAACAGCTTTTCATATGCAAACGCACGAGCGCAGCATCGACCTCTGAGGATTTGGACTCGAGCCGGAAGGCTCAGATCTCCTCCGCGCTGTTTTAATGATTATTGTGGAGGCTTTCTTACAATGTTTATCTGTAGTTTCCATATCAGCGCTTTTGAAATCCCCATCCGAGAGGGAAAGACGAGGGTGTGTTGAATTGTGCCCGGTGGATCGTTAATACAGAATTCAGGCATCAAACAAACAAACAAACAGCTAATTTCTTCACTATGCGAGAAGCTGCGGTCATTGATTTATCACCGAAGGCTTTTCGTTGCCTATTTGCTCTTTTTACAAAGCATAGTATAAAAACGCACAATTTACTTTCAAATATTGTCAGTCAGATCTGACCATTGGACATCACTACACAAACCACAAAACCCGCAACCTAATGCAAGTTAAAATGACCAATTTCAATTCATATTGTAGTTTTCCATTTATTTCTAAAACACATTTCTGAAATTAGATATACTCAGCAAACAGTTTTTGGTTCCCAGAACGTTCTGGGAAGGTTAGTTTTTGGATACAAAAAAGAACCGACAGAGAATGTTCCCAGAACATTCTTATTTGGTTCCCAAAAACATAAGCAAACAGGAACATTGCAGTTGCCAGTCAAATGCAAAATTATATCTATTAAGAATTTCAGTCAGGTTTCAGGTCCCATCAGAAACTGCGCTTGTTAAAATTACAAATGACATGCTTCTTGCATCAGACTGCATCTCACTACTTTTACTTGACCTTAGCGCTGCATTCGACACTAGATAATGACATACTCATAGATCGATTACAAAACTACATGGGTGTTCAGGGACAGGCTTTAAGATAGATCCTACCTATCAGACCATTACCACTTTGTTTATTTAAACAGGGAATCATCTCATTTAACGCCAGTAAAGTGTGGAGTGCCACAAGGATCTGTCTTAGGCCCTCTGCTATTTTCAATATATATGCTGCCCCTTGGTAATATTATTAAAAAATATGGGTGTATGATTTCTACTGTCCTAGAACTGTACATTTCTGCCATATGGACATCACCTTGTCACCACTGATAAACTACTTCTAATTGTAATGTAGAAAGTTTTATTTTCTGTGAAGCTGCTTTGCAATAATGTTTCGTGAAAAGTGCTATACAAATAAACATGAATTGAATTGAAATGCAGTTACTAGGTGTTTGCATACTGACCAAAGTCCCTGCGATATTCTGGGCTCTAGCATAGCCCCTGTGTATGCAATAAAATATTTAATATTCTAGTCAAGTATGGGGAAAAAAACGGTCCCATTATGTAGCTATTGCTTTTGATACAGCAAACAAATGCAAATGATTGCAAACTCTTGTTGCAAATGCAATATAGTGAGTGAGTGACGTGACGTGACATGTGGCCAAGTATGGTGACCCATACTTGGAATTAGTGCTCTGCATTTAACCCATCAAAAGTGCACACACACTGCAGTGAACACACACCCAGAGCAGTGGGCAGCCATTTTTCCTGCGGCGCCTGGGGAGAAGTTGGGGGTTCGGTGCCTTGCTCAAGGGCACCTCAGTCGTGGTATTGAAGGTGGGAGAGAGCGCTGTACATTCACTCCCCCCACCCACAATCCCTGCCGGTACGAGACTCGAACCCACAACCTTTGGGTTACGAGTCCGACTCTCTAACCATTAGGCCACGACTAAGCAGCTATACTTACTAATCCAAATTATTATTTTTGGACACCATTAACCATTGCATGGTAGTTTATGGATGTATATCACTCAATAAAATGATGCCATAACCAGTGCAGCGTTTCTGCTTTACCACGTCTTTTAAAGAAATAATGCAAATACTCATTGTGCTCTAATGACCTTATTTTCTTACAATGCTTATAAAGACATTATCTTCAATCTGAACATATTTCCCACTGTAAAATATCTAAAATAATGCATTACATGTTTAAATTGTGTAAAAATGGTCATAAACATTCATGTCACCAATCTCAAAATATCATGCATGACCAGACAGTAAAAAAAAAAAAAACTTCCTATAAAAATGTCCTGACACACTGCATTAGTTTAAATACAGAAAGCAACGCTAGAATAAGTGAATCAAATGTTTATAGTCTGGAAACACACGTTAAAGGGACAGTTGGCCAAAAATGTAAATTACTGTCAACATTTACTCACCCTCAAGTAAATAAATAATGACAGAGCTTTCATTTTTGGTTGAGACCACACAGAACTCAAACCAGCCGATGCAGAAAAACATGACAAACTGACAAATAATATGTGCCAAAACCTCAGAGAAACTAAACAATGAGTGGACATTCTGAAACTCAGAGATAATCATCAACAGAAATTGCAATCCACGCCAAAAACAGAACATACATGAACTGAAAACACACCAGACCACCTCAAGAGGAATGTGGTGGGAACACTGAACACACTAGCTTTCAAAAGTCTCATATCAGTAGATTCATTACAGCAGTATTTTACGGCTGTCATCACATCCACAGCAAACTGCACTCATTTATACACACGAAAAAAATCTGGCAAATGATGAAATCTCAGCATGGCAAAATGTTGAGGCTGAAGGAAGAGTTAATCCATAAATGAAAGTTCACACCAATGATGATGGCTATAACTAAAATTTTTTGAAATAATATAATATAGTAATCATTTTTAGTGTGAATTGGTCATTACTCACCCTCATGATGTTCCTATTTTCTTGTGTTCTTCACTTTTTGAATTATATTCTGTCCAATCCTTCTCATGAGGACAGTTTTGCTGCAAGCTTAATTAAATACACCTGAACGAGCTAATTAAAGTGTTTAGGGTCATTAAAAACATCTAGGCAGGTGTGATGGAGCTAAATTCTGCAGGAACATCTTCCTTCAGAAGAACTGGGCACTCCTTTTATATAATGAAAGGGGACTGTGTCAGTTGAGCTCCAAAATGACAAAAAAGCAACAAGGGAGGATTTACATGGAGCAGAAATTTGGCCCGTGATGACCTTTGATTTGGCCCACCATGCAAGAGGATGGGAAAAAATAGAAAAAGAAAAAAAACAATTTTTTTTAAAAACAAACTATTGAAGCATATCTTTATTTCTAATTAATATTTTTGTTTTAGCATTTTTTTAAACATTGTTTTGCTTTTTTTTGCATTGAAATGTAAAAAACAATACAAGTGAATTTTTGTGAAAAATTAAGAAAGTGATTATTTAAATGTTTAAATAAAAAATACATTTAAATTATTTTTATTTAATGCACTTTAATATAATATAGTTGGATTTAATAGACTAATATATTATATAATACAATATAATACATAATTTAATATACCAATATAATATAGTTGGATATAATGCATTTACTTTTGACCCACAGTCATCAATCAGGTTTGATTAAAATGTTTGGTTAGAGAGTAATGACATAAATTTGGGTCCGTTTCTCACAATAAGCTGTTTTATGACTTCAAAGCAATTGAAATATAGCGGACAAGTCATATGCATAATAGTTATGATAGATTTGTGGTGTGTTTTTGGAGCTTGACAGACTTCATTGTTCTTTAAATATTTCAGTTTTCTTCTTCTCTGCATTTCTCCTCTTCGCTAGCATGCTTCCTATAGTTGTCTAATGGCATTGCATATTGCGAATATTGTTGGCTCTGTGATAAAATTGCTTTTGTTCTCTTTGTAATTTGCTTTGGATAAAATTGCTGCTAAATGCATTCCATGAAAGAAAGAGTCATATGTGTTTGGAACAACATGAGGGTAAATTACATGATTTTCATTTTTGACTAAATCGTCCATTTGAGCCCGATATCAAAACGGCTGATAAAGTGAGAAGTTGAAGGAGTGAATTTTCCACTTATCTCGCAGCAACACAATCATACAAGATCTCATTTAAAAGTATACAAAAATGGTTCTTGCCATCATATCCATAAATAAATGTAAGAAAAATTGTAACTTGTGTCCTGCACATGTCAGTCAGGGTCTTTGACCAGCAGTGTCACAAAGTGTCCGTCACTCCTTTTTCCCAAAGAACTTCCTGAAGACGGATTTGTTGGGCGGTCGCGGGAGGCTCATGTAGCTCTTAATGGGCAGATCGGAGATGGACTCTTGCCAGACACCGTTTGTCGGGGCCGTCGCTGTGCTTTTACAGACTGACGGCATCTCACCATCTCTGATGAATAAAGTCACCGAGTAGCTGGAGCTGCTGTCCTGGCCTTTGCCTGAAGGGGGCGCTACAGGCTTGATCCTCTGATATGTGGCTGTAGAAACAGAGATATCAGCATTCAAAGCTCATATACATTGATTAAACGTTTATTTGTAGGGCCCTATGATTCCCGCAATACAGAAAACGCACACAGAATTGCAGAAACCAGTCATAAAAATAGAATTTTAGATGCATAAATCAAAAGTAGCACTGTACGCTTAATCAAATTGTAACAGCAACAATAATAATAATAATAATAATAATAATAACAAAGTACTAAAACTTTTTAAAGGAATAATTACACAATTTTTCTTCCATGTTTTAATTTTAACAGTAAACCTCTGCTGCCAAAAAAACAAAAGGACTTGTTTAATTTTTATCTGATTACATTTTAATTATATTGTTAAAGGAACACTCCACTATTTTTGAAAATAGGCTCATTTTCCAACTCCCCTAGAGTTAAACAGTTGAGTTTTACCTTTTTCGAATCCATTCAGCCGATCTCCGGGTCTGGCGGTAGCACTTTTAGCTGTAGCTTAGCATAGATCATTGAATCTGATTAGACCGTTAGCATCTCGCTCAAAAATGACCAAAGAGTTTCTATATTTTTCCTATTTAAAACTTGACTCTTCTGTAGTCACATCGTGTACTAAGACCGACGGAAAATTAAAAGTTGTGATTTTCTAGGCCGATATGGCTAGGAACTATACTCTCATTCCGGCGTAATAATCAAGGAACTTTGCTGCCGTACCATGGGTGCAGCAGGCGCAATGATATTACGCAGCGCCTGAAAATAGTCCCCAGCACGCTCCCTGTGCAAGCAGGTGGTCACGTTGGTTATGTTGACGGAAGTTAGCCTATTTTAGTTCCATAAATTTTATTTATTTTTTTTTTTAAGCTTCCAATAAATTGCTGAATTGTATAAGTTTCATGATTTCAATTAATTACATGCTTTTTGATTACTAAAATTTAATTAAAATGGAATCCAAAAAAAAAAACAGAATTTAGAAAAAAATAAAATAAAAAATGGGGGGATGGAATTTGGGGAAAAAAATTAAATGGAATTTGGGGAAAAAATAAAACATTCCATATGGCCCTAAAAATATATTTTTCTTAAACTTGTTCAATTGTACAAGTTTCTTGATTTCATGCTTTTTGTTTACTCAAATTTAATTTAATCATTAAAACGCTGTCCAGAATTCTGGAAAAATAAAACGAATTTCATAGGGCCCTAACTGGATGTGGCAAATGTGACTCAATTGAGTTACTGTACCTGAGGTAAAGGAGTGTGAGCGTCTCTTTTCGCTGGTCCAGCCCTGAACGGTGGACATAGAGGACAGATTCTGTCTCCGAAACTCGCCATGAGAGTCAAACTCATCCTCTACAGAGAGAAAAGGAAAAAAAACCTGAAAATGAATCATTCAACCTCTACAGTACAAGGGCAGACAGTAGCCTATAAGTGAGTAATAAAGCACTCGAGGTGAGAAATTATGTGACCAAGGTGGAAATGACAAAATCCAGAGAGCTGAATAGAACTGCTTCTCCCGAAATAGAAAGCCGCTGACAGCAAACAGATGTGACCCTGCCTCATAATGTCTGCGTGAAGCTTTGCTCAGTACCAGAGTCCTCTACTGCCCTCTTTTGGATGTTCAAACATTTGTCTTGCATATTGTTTATTTATTACTTGCATTAGTTGCCAGTGTTTTTGAAACTGTCAAACTGAAAGCTAATTTTATCAAGTATGCTTTCAAATCCATTATAATAGCATACTTAAGATAAATTATATATTTATAGATTTCTTTACTGGACAACAAGGCAAAATACTGATTAAAAATTATTTTTATTTTATTTTTTTTAATTTATTTATTTACTTATAAATTTTTTGTAGTGCAATTTAAAGTAATTTAACTATGGTCAAACTACATATTTATACACATTTACTATAAATTAAATACTCAGAGCTATGAGGGTTTATAAAATATGACTATAAACTTGAGTAATTTATTTAAATGCGCCTAATTTATATAAATGAGTCATGATAGTAATAAACAGCAGCATTAAAGTAATGCAAAATGCAGTGCATTATATATATATATATATATATATATATATAATATAGGGAAATATCTATAGGATCATGTACAGTATCTGAACATTTTGGTGTGACAGTTTATCATGGCTACATCAGCGAGTTACTGGATTTTGTGAGGATATTCAAAGCTTAGTTGAAGCAGAATTCTTGACAACTGGAACAATATAAAAAACTTTCTTCTAAGCC